CTGCCTCTACTCAGTTGCACGCCTTCTTAACCGAAACCGTGCCCATGGCCCTCTGGACCTCCCTGGGGCGGCCCTCCTTTGGCCGCTGCTTCGCGCCGGCTGCCCCCGGCGCCCTTGGCGGTCCACTCGGGCAATGACGGGCTGCCGCAAGGGCCCCGTCTCCGAAGACGGCCGCCCCTCGCGCGGTCGGCGCGCCCATCTCCGAAGACAGCCGCCCCCTTGCTTGGCCGAAATCTCACTCGAAATCCTCTCCGATATTCACGCATGGATCCGGGTCGAAATCCGGCACCAAAAGCAACCTCGAAATCCGACATCGAAATCCACCTGAAACCCACCTCGAAATTCACCTCGACATCGGGGAGGTCTGCCTCAGGGAACTGGCGGTGGTCGATGCGCGGTTTTAACGCGCATTGGTAGCGTTTTTACAAACAGCAAGCACTTGAGACTCACAGCGGGCGCGACAGTCTTCTGAGCCCGCGATGGCTACGGACATCTTATCACGGGGGCTAGAACGGGCTACTGGGGGCCATCGCCCTTGCTCCCTCCCTGGTCTCGTCTTCTGGGGTCGAGGAAGGGGGCCGCGGCGGGGTGGAAGCCAAGACCGGACGACGGCTGTGGGATGGAGGACAAGAAGAAACACACGTGGCATAGAAGAAAGCGGGTGTGGCTACATCCTGGTTTTGCCGCAACGGTCATATGGCCCACGAGGAACCCTCCCCGTGTCCAGCACGCGGTCACGATAGCCCTCCTCGGCCAAACCGGCTGCGATGGCGGTGTGTGATATAAAAGGTCCACCGCCACCTCTATGTCGGCACACGCCTCACACGCTTCGTGGCACCATAGGGAGCTCCGCCGAAGGCCCCGCTGGCATGGTTCGCATGGCACCGCCGCCTGCTTTTTGGCACACCCCTCACACGTTTCGTGGCCCCATAGGGAGCTCCGCCGAAGGCCCCAGTGGCAGGGTTCGGATGGCACCGCCTCCAATTCGGCACACCCCTCACACGCTTTGGGCCCCATAGGGAACTCCGCCGAAAGCCCCAATGGCAGGGTTCGCATGGCACTGCCGCCTCCATTACGGCGCATACCTCGCACGCTTCGCAGCTCCAGAGGGAACCCTCCCGAAGGCACCAATGGCAAGGTTCGCATGGCACCGCCGCCTCCCTTTCGGCACACCCCCACACGCTTCGTAGGCCCATATGGGGCTCCGCCGAAGGCCCCAGTGACAGGGTTCGCATGACGCCGCCGCCTCTATTTCGGCACACCCCTTACATGCTTCGCGTGCCCGCAGGGAGTTCCGCCGAATGCCCCAGTGGCAGGGTTCGCATGGCACCGCCGCATAAATTCACGCACGCACACCCTGCAAGCATCGCGGCCCCATAGGGAGCTCCGCCGACGGCCCCAGCGGCATCATTCGCATGGCACCGCCGACTCCATTTCGGCACACCCAATCACACGCTTCGCGGCCCCGTACGGAGTTTCACCGAGGGCGATACCTTCGCCGAGATACTTTCTCTGGGGGGAAGATGGCTTCCAATAGCGCCAATATGGCTTCCAAGACGGCCAAAGTTGGCCCAAGAGGGTCAACGATAACCGCACGATGCCCCCAAGTCCGCCCAAAAAAACACCAAGACGGCCCAAGGTAACCTCAAAATGACACCACACGCCCGAAGAGGCCCCCAAGAAGCCTGCATGACGGCGCCTCCAAGAGGCCCCCAAAGAAGGCCGGAAGAGACCAAAACCACTGCTTCGTTTTGGTTACATGATGTTGGCAATAATATCGTTTCGGCCTCCCGACGGCCAGAAACGGCCCAAGAGGCCCCAAACATCGCCCTCAGCTTGTTCAAAAGGCCTCCATAATGGCCCCTATGACGGCCAAAGGCCTCCAAGACAACCCCAAAAGGTCCGCGGGACCAGTTTCTTTCAGTGCCCAGCGATCCGTAAATCCATTCGTTTTCTCTGCATATACCTGCCCCCTCCCTCCTGCTCCCTGGTTGGGCACCGCGCGTGCACAGCAGCAGCAAGCACGGTTTGCGATGGCGGGCGGGGTCTGGATTCTGGCCGTGTTGTGGCGTTCCTGGCCCGTCTGACGCGGTCGGATGCCGTTTTGGGAACCTCTCTGGGCTGTTGTGGGGTTCTCTTGAGGAGGTTCAGGGCCGTCTTGGAAACAAGTTTGGCCGCTTTGGAAGCTTATGGGTCCTCTCGGGGACATTCCCCAAATACGGTGCGATCGCGAAATGCCGAGGCAGGGAGGAAGAGGAGGAGGAGGAGGAGGAGGAGGAGGAGGAAAAAGACAACGAGGATGAGTCGAGGAGATGGGAGAGTAAGAAATTCACGGCAATGCAAAACAGCTCTTTTCGATGGGGCAGAAGAAGGAAGGGGGACAACGGGGGGGAAGCGAAGGAGGATGAGAGTGAGGAGGGTGAGGGGAACGACGAAGCCAAGGACGAGGAGCAAGACGAAAACGATGATCATGGAGGGAGAAGCAGGAGGGGAAGGAGGAGGAGACGAGATGGGGGGGGCGATAGCAGGAGGGGGGGAGGAGCAGCAGCAACAGACACATCAATTGAAATAGCAGGGGGGCAAGCGGACGAAACATATGTTTGATGCACGCTGTACGCGATGGGAGCACGTGGGGCCCGCCGGGCATCACTACCCGAGGTAACTCGACGACCACCCCGAAGCACGCGCAGCTTACAGATTCGCTTCAACATTCAGAACTGCGTGTCTCGGGCACCGACGGCTCGCTTATTCCGCCGAGACGTTTCGAAATCCACTCGGGATTCAATGCTGAGACTTCGTAGCCAAAAAAATGCTGCACCAAAACAGCCTTGCAAAGGATCAGATCAGATCCTCCACACTGGTATACTTCCCGAATCCGATGCTGAGCTCTTTTCCGTAGTCGGTATGAATGCGGTCATGGCGGCGCACGTGCGCCTCACCATGTTACCGAAAGTATGATGCCCAACTTGCTGGGCGGGGCACACTATATCTTTTTTGCGAGTGCACCCGTCTGTTTAAAGCAAAATGGGCAATGTCAACCCATGCGTCCCTGAACCAAGGGATTGTGCGAATGCGCTGGAAAAACCCTGTCACACATTCTCGGTTTGATCGGCGATCCTGCTTGCATATGACGACGGGTTAAACGAGCATGTACTGGCAACTCAAATCCACATCTCCAGAAGCAGACATGATGCCGACATGGGAACATGTGAGTCAGCCGCCGCAGGAAAGTCAGACGGCGGTCGAGAATGCGCTGGGACGCGGGCGGACTAATGGATACGCACTGCGAGAGCGCGAAACGGAAAGGACCGCATGAGGGCCCAGGCGGGGGGGGGGTCACGCGCATGTCGTGAGGGCCGTCGCGTGCGCGCCGGCGTGCACGAACAGGAAGTCCACGAACAGGACGAGGTCGAGACCACGTGGGTACGGCGCGTGGGCGGCGTCGATCACGACGAAATCTTTCATGGAAACAGACTTCACTCCAATGCCTGGTCAGACACGACCAATCAATGACCCTGCACTGCTACCACACACGCGTGCGACAATCAACTACGGACCTACCTGCTCACAAGCGAAATAATGAGAATAAGCATAAACGCGCACACGCATATTTTGTCGACCGAGATTCATACATGCAGAAGATAATGAGCATTTGGGTGGAATTGTTGCCCTTCAGCTGTTTGACAATCTTGGTCTGCTCGTGAAGGTCCTGCTGGAGTTCCATCAGGCGGCCATCATGTTTCTGGTGTCATGGATCGTATCATGGTTACACTGGCAATCACCAGAATCACCTAGATACGTTGGCCGTTGACACCGGATCCGCTTCAACAGTGCGTAGGCATTGTAGGCGTGATTGTCCACGTGTGGCTGCTACATACCGGGCCGCTGAGTTTCACATGTTTGCTCCTCTGGTCCGTATAACGTTACAAAAGGCTCTGTGAAGTCAGCAGGGCTATCGATGCAAACCTGTGATTAAGTATAACGTATGAATAGAACCTGGATGTACATGAAAAAGGAAATCCGCTCTCCCCGCTGGAGCCACCAGTCTTCGGTTTTCGGCAACATAAGAGCAGTAGGCTTTCTTGGACACGACCGCTGACATACATATGACGATGGCAGACACACGCGGTACAATGTTTCCTCTAGCAGTCCAGTGCCGAAGCGTCCCTTTCCAATCCGCCAAACTCCAGCTTCCCATCCTCATCATCAGAGAATCAGCACGGTCACATCCCACTCCCATTTACAACCTCCTCGGATACTATGTTAATGTCTGTTGTGCATGAATACTCTTGCTCGTGGCACCACCAGGCCTGTCGGCCAGGCGGGTTGGGCGCTTCGTCTGGTAGTCGACATCTGAATAAACGCCTGCAACTGAAAGTGTAAACGGTATGGCGGCTGGAGGGAGGATCTTTAATTTCAAGCGTAGTGTTCGATAAAGCGTCGCGCACATTGTTTTATCATCTTCCAACTGCTACACTGTCTGAAAGCAGTTCTCTTCTCAACATGGGACCTTGAGAGACACTCTCCACGCTGGCTGGCGACCGAACACTTGGACGGATGAAGGCCAAACGGGCTCTCAGTGGGCATTTCTCTGTTATGAAAATACCTACCACTTTCCGTTTGAAGGGTGCAGCAGGACGGAGCATGTCCAAAACGACGCTTTCGCCTGAATGGCAAAGACCACGGGGCGGTCGTCTTTCAAGGGGGGGGTCCTGGAGTGAAGCCGAATTCTCGAAGGGACTCATGAAGAAGATGTTCAGGAAGAGAGGGCGCACTTCAACATCACTAACGCATCCTACGCTTACTCTGGTTATCCTTTTGAGCGTTGCACGGAGTCTGACCGGGTGATGGGACCAACGTATGACTCTTATAATCCTCATCCTCGTCCTCCTCCTCATTCTCCCTCTCTCTCTCTCTCTCTCTCTCTCTCCCCGCGCGGCGTGCAAACACACCGCACGTTCAAACTATGAGAGCGACGCAACGCGCTGCTCACATCAGAATCACTGGGCGCTCAGCGGCTGGAGCCCCAGGATGCTCGGGCGCTGACAGAAGAGCCCCTGGCCAAGGGTGTCCCTCGCTTACCACGGCACAATATTCAAAACCCTGGGCGCCCCCACCACCTCCTCCGCTCGGGCCTTTGCAGGGCCCCAGAGGCAGGAGTAAAGAAGCTCGGCATCATCACCGCCATCGCGAGCAGCCAGGGAGGCGTCTCCTGCTGACGCGGTCCCCCCTGCTCTGCGACGTCCTGCTCGACGCACCCTCAGCCTCGAGCTCGGGAAGGCAATGTGGACCTCCTTGCTGGAGGTGGCCTGCTGGTGGTGGTGGTGCCGCTTTTCCCTCCTGTGACCCGGGGCCAGGGCTACTCCTGCTAACGCCCGACATGTTTATCCAGCTCATCTGCCGCCGGCTCTCGCAGTCCGTCACCGTCAGGACGCAGAGCGCCCCGCAAAGCATCGCCTCGCCCGCCCCCGCTCCCCCCCGGCGCAGGGGACTTTGAGTAGAGAGGAGGTCTCCAGAGGAGGGGGGGAGGCCCTCCTCTCCTCCTCATTATCGTCCTCCTCTTTGTGCTGTTGTGCTGCTGCTTCTGCTGCTGCTGCTGCTGTTTCCCTCTGCCTCCATCATAAGCTTGTGGACCTCTCCTGGCGCGAGTTCTCACCAGCATGTCAAAGCGGAGCCAGCCGTGGTGGCGAAGGGCCGCCAAGGAAGCCCCGAAAAATGACAATAGAGTATCAGGGCCTCCTCCTCCGCCCCCTCCTCCGCCTCCTCCCCCCCCCGCAGCACAACCAAAACCAGTCACGAGCATCAAGCACAATGACGCGAGGCACCAAGAATGCGCAAAGCTAGGAGCCCCCATCCGATCGAGAAACAATAACTTCAAATTACCACCCTAACAGCCGGGATTGGGCTGCACTGGGTAGGGAAAGTGAAGACCCGAGGAGGGCTAGAGGAGGGAGTAGGGCCATGAGATACGCCACGCAATTCGAGAAGACCTCGGTCCTGGAATAATCTCGAATGCTCGAGACTCCTCTTCCTCCTCCTGGAGGAAAGGGAAGTGGCGGCAGGGGGGAGGGGGAGACGGGATTTCCAATCCTCGAATTTCCGACTAACTGAAACCGCGGACCTTGCCCTCCTCCTCCTCCTCCTCCTCCTCCTCCTCCTTCTCCTCCTCCTCCTCCTCCTCCTCCTCTTCCTCCTCCTCCGGGAACGGGAGAAGGCGGAGGAGGAGGAGGCGGAGGAGAAACCCGAAAGTAAGCAAACAAAACCAATCCCCTCGATCCTCGATGCTTGCGAGAAGGTCCCTGGAAATCCTCGAAGCTCGCGGAGGTCCTTGCAGGCCTCCGGATGCTCAAAAAAGGCAGGAGGCGGAGGCGGAGGAGAAACTCCAAGACGTTCAGAGAGCCCCGCCACCCCTCGATCCTCGACCCTCCGTCTTCCTCCTCCACGACGAAAAGGGGGGCGGGCCGGAAGCCCCTGGAGGCCTCAGGAATCTCTGAAATTGCCCGTAGTGCGGCGAAGACGCCAACAAGCCTCTATCTTCGAACCTCGAACCTCGAAGGGACACAAGTCAACGAGGGCTTGACCACTATTCTCCAGTCGATCTGCGGAGGCAGGGCCAGGTACACGAATGCGAGTCGACGCAATCAGGTGCAAGCCCCCAGAAGGCAAGTTGAGTCCAAGGGTGTCCAGATAGTTCTGGCTACGATGTGAAGGATCCAGTGCGAGTCGAGGGACAATAGAAACCCGATCTACCCTCAAGAGAGGGCAGAATAACCACCCTCATAACAACCACCCCGACATGCGAAACCCTTCACTAAACGTCCCGACGGACAGAATCGCCGTTTCGTAAACGCCCAAGGTTGTTTAGCAAACGCCAGTCACGGTCGGGAGCTTCTGCTTAGCGTGTCCCGGCGGCGGCCCCGGCGACACGCTATGCCCTGCGAGTGGATAATGTGTCGCTCTGCCCCGCGGGGCGGAGGGATGGGAAAAGCTGGGGACGCTGACGCCTGGGGACCAGAATGTAGACAGCGTGCCACTGGAAGCGTGGTGGGACAGAACCGGCGGCGCGACACGCCAAGTGAAAGCTCCTGACCGCAGAAGGCCAACCCCCTCGCGCAGCCCCCTGGTCCCAAACCCCCGATGTCATGTTTTGCTTCAAACGTCGATCCAATTCCCTGGGACCGGCTTTTCGTCCCGCATCGTCCTCTGACGGTCCCGAGGCCTGGTAAGGGCCCCCGGAAGACGAAGGTAACGGACATCCTTCCGTGTTGATGCTTTCATGACTCGAGGGGGTCTTGGTGGTTGGTCCTCCCTGGGCTCCGACGGGCAGGAGAAGAGGGCGGGGCGTGGCACCCACCTTTACAGCGGCCCTGCGATCGTCCGCGTCTTTGGGCAGAGCCATGGGCACCGCCACCCACTGCATGCCTCGGCCACCCGGGGGCGTCGTCGCCGCCGTCAGATTCGTCGCCACTGCCGCCGCCGCCGCCATCATGCGTCGTCGCCGTCGTTCGTCCTCGTGCGTCGTCGTCATCGTCGTCATCGTCGTCGCCACTGTCGCCGCAGCCATCGTGCGACGTCGCCGTCGTTCGTCGCCGTCGCCGCTGTCGCCGAGGCCGAGCTTGGTTTTCGTCGTTCGTCGTTCGTCGTCGTCGTTCGTCGTTCGTCGTCCTCGCTTCTGCTTCCGCTGCTAATGTCGTCGTCGTCGTCGTCGTCGTCGTCGTCGTCGTCGTCAACGTCCTCGACGGCGTGATTCGCACGTTTCCGCAATTGTTTTGCCTCCTGTTGGCCCTCCTTCGCCGCAGCCCGATCCATCCAGAACTCCTGGCCAGACCGCGTTTTCCGTTTGCTCCAGGCCTCGATTCTGAGTCGTCGCTCTCGCGTTCCTGGACCTCGCCGTCGTTGTCCATTTTTTCGGTGGCGTTCGGGGGCTGCTTTCATTGACGGGCTTCCAAAACGCGTGCAGGAGGGAGCTGGAGAAGGTGGAGGATGAAGACCAGGAGTAACAACTGAGCGCATCGATGTGCTTTGCCGACTGCCGTGGTGATCTCACTCGACCGTTGCCGATGCTTGCGCGGCGTGCTGCTACTTGCTAGAACGGCACGCGATGCGCATGTGGGCGGGCGATTCTCGGGCTACGTGCAAACCTCCCTCATCAACAATCAGACACGGACACGCAACATGATTTGGACATGAGGTGAAGGCGACGCGAGGGGTGGTGGAGACAGAATCGCGCCCGATCGGGGCCTCTTCCGCTCTGGTGCTCAGGCAAGGTTCTCGCATGGCGCGATAATGAATATTAAGATCTCTAGCTTTACACTTGCCTCTCCTTCGAGCGCCATGCCGCAATTCCGCTGAGGGCTGGAAGGTGAAGTGCCCCTGGGAGCATGACATTTGGAGATGCTCGCAATGACCAGAATGTTTGAAAGCTGTCCTCGGGTCCAAGACATCCGAGCTTGCCTCAGTGCCCTGTGCCCAAGACAAAGACATTCCGAGACAAAATGGCAAGGGAGGCGGGAAAGGACGGAGGGGGTTGAAGATTCTGGAGAATTCGCAGGCGGGGTCCTCGGACGCACTAGGGCAAGAGGAGGCTCCCCTTCCTCCTCCTCCTCCTCCTCCTCCTCCTCCTCCTACTCCCCCTCCTCCTCCTCCTTGGTCTGCTGCTCCTCCTCCTCCTCCTCCTCCTCCTGCTCCTGCTCCTCCTCCTCCTCCTCCCCAGTGCTCCACCTCCTCCTCCTCCTCCTCCTCCTTCGAATCATGCTCCCCCATCTTCCTCGTCCTCCTCTCTCGCTGGTCCTCGGCCACATGCAGGCTAGCGTGGCACCAGCGAGAAGCTGAGGTCTGGAATGGCCCAGGTTTCTCAATTCGACGCGCGCACGGGCACGGCCCTGCATGAACGAGCGGGCGACAACTGGTAACCCCTATGCAGCTCCTCCGCTTTGTTTTCCTCCTCTGATTCGTCCTGCCTCCTCCACTCCCGACTCCTCCTCCTCCTTCTCCTCCTCCTCCTCCTCCTTCTCCTCCTCTTCATACTCCTTCCTCTCCTCCTGCGTACACCGCCTCACTCCTACACCCCCTCCCTGTCCTCCTCCTCATCCCCCTCCTCTTCCGTCATCCAGATCCTCCCTACGCCTCCTCCCCTCTTCTCCCCCCTGTCGTTCCTCCAGATCCCTTTCATCATATTTCCCCTCCTCATCCTCCTTTTCCTCCTCCGACTCCTCTTCTCCTCGTCTCCCTCCTTCCTCATCGCCCTCCTCCTCCTCCTGCTCCTCCTCCTCCTCCTCATCATCCTCCTCTTCCCCCAACTCCCCATCATCAGCATCACCACCATCGTCCTCATCATCATCATCATCATCATCATCATCATCATCAGCAGCAGCAGCATCATCATCAGCAGCAGCAACAATACCTGTACGACCACCCTTCGGGTGATAAGAGAGTCCGGGGGGAGGAACCAACGTCTCACCCGATCGGTCTCACTATCGATCTCACCATCGGTCTCGCTCAACCGATCTCACCCGATCGATCTCACAATCGATCTCACTCGATCTATTTCACTCGATCGATCCAAACATCGATCTGACTATCGATCCCACAATCCATCCCACAATACATACCACTATCGGTCCCACAATCGATCTCACAATCTGTCTCACGATCGACCTCACTATCGATACCACAACCGATCTCACCAGCAACGACATCTTCATCATCAACATCATCGTCATCAACGTCACCAACATCGTCACCATCTGAACACCATCATCATCACCATCATCAACAACATCATCATCAACACCATCATCATCATCGGGACACCACCATCGTCACCCTCGTCATCATCATCATCATCACAATCATCACCATCGGGACACCATCATCATCATCATCATCATCATCATCACCTGGGCACCACCATCACCTCATCATCTCATCATCACCATCGTGCAAATCATCATCAAAACCATCATCATCTGGACACCATCATTTTCAGCAGCATCACCCTCCCCAACATCATCATCATTATCGGAACACCATCATCATCGCACCATCATCACCACCATCGGGACACCACCATCATCATCATCAACATCATCATTATCGGGCAACCATCATCAAAATCATCATCATCACCTCATCATCATCCTCATCATCAAAATAATCATCATCATCGGGACACCATCATCGTCATTATTACCATCATCATCAACATCACAATTACCAGGGCACAAACATCATCATTTCCATCATCATCAGCAGTTTCATCATCATGTTCATCATCACCATCATCATCGGCACACCATCATCATCAACATCATCAACATCATCATCATCATCTCCTGACCGCATCATCAACATCATCATGCTCATCAACATCCTCATCATCATCGGGGCGCCATCATCATCACAATCAGCATCGTCAGCATCATCAACATCATCATCATGATCACCATCATCTGGACAACATCATCATCACAACCATGGCCATTACCATCAACATCATCATGAACATCGTCAAGATCATCATCATTATCATCGGGACACCATCATCATCCCCACCACCACCATCATCAGCATCATCATCATCAACAGCATCGACATCATCATCATCATCAACATCATCATCATCATCATCATCATCATCATCATCATCATCATCGGGACACCGACCGGACACCGGCGGGACACCGCGGGCCACTGGCCCCCGGAAAGGAATCATTTGGACCGGTCGCGCCTCAGCCGGAGGTGGGACACCGGCGGGAAACCGCGGGCCACCGGCCCCCGGAAAGGAATCATTTGGTCCGGCCGCGCCTCAGCCGGAGGAGAATTTCTTCTCGCCGCCCACGCAGCTTCGCCCGCGCGCACGGCACGCACGAACACGAAACCGAAACCGATTTCCTGGTAGGGGGGCTCTTCGTTCCACTTCGATCTCACCTCCTCACCTCCGATAGTCATCATCACCACCACCAGCATCATCAGCATAATCAACACCACAATCGATACCACCAACATCGACATCAATATCATCTTCCATCATCATAATGAACAACATCAACATCACAATAAACACTATCACCACCAACACAGTCATCATCACCATAATCATCATCGTCACCGCCATACCCGCTACCTACACGACCACCCTCCGGGTGATAAGGAGGTTCGGGGGGGGGAGGAACCAACGTCTCACTCGATCGGTCTCACTATCGATCTCACCATCGATCTCACGATCGGTCTCGCTCGATCGATCTCACCCGATCGATCTCACAATCGATCTCAGTCGATCAATTTTACTCGATCGATCTCACAATCTGTCTCACGATCGATCTCACAATCGATCTCACGATCGATCTCGCTATCGATCTCACAATCGACCTCACATTCGGTCTCACCATCGATCTCACTATCGATATCACCATCGATCTCACAATCAACGTCATCATCATGATCAACATCATCGTCATCAACGTCATCACAATCATCATCAACACAATCAACATCGGGTCACCATCATCATAATCACCTCATCACCATCATCATAAACACCATAATTATCGTCACCATCATGATTATCATCGGGGCACCATCATCGTCACCATCACCATCATCAACATCATCAGCGCCGGGACACCATCATCATTATCATCATCATCACCATCATCATCATCATCATCGGGACACCACCATCACCATCATCACCATCATCATTTCATCATCATGATCATCATGAAAAAAAAATCATCAAATCCATCATCGTCATCAGCAACATCATCACCATCATCATCAACATCATCGTCATCGGGAAACCATCATCATCGTCACCATCATCATCATCATCATCACCCTCATCATCATCGGGACACCATCATCATCATCAGCATCCGCATCATCATCACCATCATCGGGCCACCATCATCAAAATCACCATCATCACCTCATCACCATACTCATCATCAACATCATCATCATCGGGGCACCATCATCGCCATTATCATCATCATCATCAACATCATCATCGGAACACCGTCATCATCACCATCATCATCAACAACATCATCATCATCAACCTCATCCTCATCATCGGGACACCATCATCATCATCATCTTCATCACGATCCGCATCTCATCAGCATTTCGTCATCATCAACATTATTATGATCATCAACATCATCATCATCATCAGGACACCATCATGATCATCAGCAACATCAGCATCAACATCATAATCATCGGGATATCATCATCACCACCACCAGCACCATCATCATCATCATCATCATCATCATCATCAACATCAACATAGTCAACATCATCATCATATTCGTCATCATCATCATCATCATCGGGACACCATCATCATCACCCCCATCACCATCACCATCATCATCAACATCATCGACATCATCATCATCATCATCATCAGCATCATCATCATCATCATCATCATCATCATCATCATCATCATCATCATCATCATCATCATCATCATCATCATCATCATCATCATCATCATCGGGACACCGACGGGACACTGGCGGGACACCGCGTGACACCGGCCCCCGGAAAGGAATCATTTGGTCCGGTCGAGCCTCAGCTGGAGGCGGGACACCGGCGGGACACCGCGGGCCACCGGCCCCAGGAAAGGAATCATTTGGTCCGGCCGCGCCTCAGCCGGAGGAGACTTTCTTCTCGCCCGCCCACGCAACTTCGATTCGCCCGCGCGCACGGCACGCACGAACACGAAACCGAAACCGATTTCCTGGTAGAGGGTCTCTCCGTTCCACTTCGATCTCACCCCCTCACCTCCGATCATCATCATCATCATCATCATCATCATCATCATCATCATCACCCTCACCGGCAATATCAGCCTCGCTTCACCTCGCGCCGCGCGCGACGCGCGCCCAGGAGCTCAACGACAACGACGACGACGACGCATCCCGATGTCAGACAAACAAACATTGTTTCTATATCGTTTTCCAAGAAAGCCAACATGAACACGACCAAGACATTCTGAGACAAAATGGCGAGGGAGGCGGGAAAGGAAGGAGGAGGTTGCAGATTTTGGAGAATTCGAAGGCGGGGCCCACGGTCCACGGACGCATTGGGACGAGGAAGAGGAGGCTCCTCTTCCTCTTCCTCCTCCTCCTCCTACTCCTCCGCCACCTCCTCCTCTTGCTCCTCGTGTTGCTCCTCTTCCTCCTCCTCCTCCCTCCCCTCATGATCCCTCATCGTCCTCGTCCTCCTCCTCCTCTCCCTCTTCCTCCTCCTGCTCCTCCTCGTGTTGCTCCTCTTCCTGGTCCTCCTTCGCCCATGATCCCTCATCGTCCTCGTCCTCCTCTCTTGCTGGGTCTTGGCAACGCGCGGGCCTGCGTGGCGCCAGCAAGAGGCTAGGGTCTGGAATGACCCGGGTTTCCCATTCGACGCGCGCACGGGCACGGCCACACATCCACGAGCGGGCGACATCTGGTAACCCATGCAGCTCCTTCGCTTTGTTCTCCTCCTCTGATTTTTCCCCCCTCCTCTCTCCTCCTCCTCCGGTCCCGCCTCCTCTTCCTCCTCCTCCTCTTCCTCCTCCTCCTTTTCCTCCTCCTCCTCCTCCTGCTTTCTATCCTCTTACACCTCCTTCCTCTCATCCTCCTCATTTTTCCTTTCCTCGTCCTTCATCCTTCTCCTCCCTACCCCTCCTCTTCTCTTGACCCCTGTCGCTCCTCAGGCTCCCTCTGATCATATTTCCCCTCCTCCTCCTCCGCCTCCTCTTCCCGTCGTCCACCTCCGTCCTCATCACCCTCATTATCATCGTCACAATAATCACGAACACCAACGCCAACAGCATCATCGCATCATCGCCATAACCATTACCATCATCGCCAGAACCACCATCATCATCATCATCACCCTCATCATCACCATCATCATCATCGTCATCATCATCACCAACATTATCACTCTCACTGCACTGCGCGCCGTTTGCGCCGCGCGTGCGGTATTTCAGCGACGACGACGACCACAGCGACGACGACGACGACGACGCCGACCACGACGACGACGACGACGACCACGACGATGACGACGGCGACGAACGACGGCGACGGCAACGGCGACGGCCGTGCGTGGGGCGCAGCCGCGACCCGGGGCTCCCGCCCAGCGGGATGTCCAGGGGGATCTCGGGCAGCGGCAGGTCCTGGAGGGAGGAGGGAAGCAAAGAGAAGAGGAGGGAGACGAGGATGGAGTACGTAAGGAGAGAGAAGAAAAAATAGGAGGAAGGGGGAGGAAGGAGGGAGAGAAGGAGGGAGGACGGAGGGAAGAGGAGCAGGAGTACGAAGAGCAGAGCAAGAACAGGAGGAGGAAGAGATGACGAGGGCAGGGCGAGGGAGGCAGGGAGGAGGGAAGGAGGTAACTAGCAAAGGTCGTTTGCAAACCCCCGTTTGTAGAGATGGAACGAAGGACTCCCCACATCCTGAGTGGGGCTTTTGTTTTCCCAAAGCACCCTCTCTTCCTCCTCCTCCTTCCACCTATGCCTTCCCCTTCCCCTGACACTTTCCCTTCCACAACCTGTACCGCGACTGCCACGTCCACTACCAATACAACGAGCACTACTACGACTACAACAACAACAACGACAACAACAACAACTACTACTACTACTACTTTTACTTTTACTTTTACTACTACTACTACTACTACTACTACTAGTACGACGACTACTACTACTACTACTACTACTACCACTACTACTACTACTACTACTACTACTACTACTACTACTACTACTACTACTACTGCTACTACTACTACTACTACTACTACTACTACGACTACTGCTACTACTACGCCTACGACTACGACGACTGCTACTACTTCACATACTGCTACTACTACTACTACTACTACTACTACTACGACGACGACTACTGCGAATAAAACTACAACTACGACAAATACTACGAGTCCTACTACTACTACTACTACTACTACTACTACTACTACTACTACTACTACTAC